TACCACCATTTTATTCTATAGGGTCTTGGCATTCAGAAAATATATAATGTTGGGGGGTTTTACGTCATTTTCAGGCCTAAAATGTGGAATATAACATGGGTGCAAAAATTGAAAAAAGGGCCTCAGTCATGAAGGGGTTAATTCCAGATCCTGGCCTATTTTCATAAATAGAGAACTGTTTATTTTATCAGAGTAAACATTCTGACACTACACTGGCTTCCAATGGCCCAAAGGATAGAATATACTATATAGATAGGGATCAAAATATTAACCACTTACAAAGCCATCCACAACTCTGCCCCTGGCTATATCTCAAACCTTGTCTCAAAGTATCACCCTAACTGTCTCCTCCGCTCTTCAAAAGACCTCCTGCTTTCCAGCTCCCTCATCAACTCCTCCCATGCTCGCCTCCAGGACTTCACTAGAGTCTCTCCCATCCCATGGAACTCTCTACCCCAACCTGTCCGACTATCTCCCACTCTGACTGCCTCTAGGCGATCCCTTAAGACTCATCTCTTCAGGGAAGCCTATCCTACCGCAACCTAATCACTGAATTATCACTTTCTCAAACAATTCATCCCCACACAGCTACATCCTCATGTATCACTGGCACCTCCCTTTTAGATTGTAAGCCCTCAGGGGCAGGGCCCTCCTTACTATCTTGTCTTGAATTGTATTGTGATTGTAATGTCTTCCTTATATTGTAAAGTGCTGCGCAAACTGTTGGCGCTATATAAATCCTGTATAATAATAATTTGTTCACCAAAATATAACGGCACCATCAGTATCCTGGACTATATGGGCTGATAATTATCACACATTCGTCACAATTGGACAAAAGTAGATAATTATTTTTAGAAATGTTTTGTGATAAATACTAGGGATGCACCGATACCGATACTAGTATCGATATCGGTGCCGATTCCGAGTATTTGGGCAAGTACTCGTACTCGCCCAAATGCTCCGATGCCTAGCACGAGTACTTCCGGTATCAGGAAGCCGGGCAGCGCGTCATTACACGCTGCCCGGTTTCACGATTGACCGGAAGCTGGCCTCGTGAGGTAAGGTTACCTTACCTTAGTATGTGTAGCCTGTCATCCCCCGGGGCCTCTCCAGCGAGAATGCGGCCTTCGTCCGGTGCCCAGCCCGAGCCGTCCAATCAGGAAGCCGGGCGCCGTCTAATGACGCAACTCCCTTCTTTCTATTTCCCGGCTAATCGGGAAGCCAGGTGGCGGGTCATTACACGCCACCTGGCTTCCTGAATGGGACTTCCGTTACTCGGTAATTGGTATCGGCGACTACCGAAAAAAAATTATCGGTACTCGTACTCAGTACCAAAATGCCGGTATCGGTGCATCCCTAATAAATACACTTGGGCTTTGGCTGCAATAGGCAATGGTAGGCACAAGGCAGGAATGGCTCAAGAAAGGAGATAGTGATGTAAAAATAGAGTGTCGGTAGTGGAGAACTGAAGTAAAGCACTATGCGTGGCGTGTCCCATCTAATGATAAATGCATCACGTTACAATGGCTTGGAAATATTGGTTGTGTAAAGAGAAATGTTTGAGGACCTTTGGAGCTTGACCAGCCACGAGTGGGCGATGTATAGAGGAAATGACAACCAGGATGACTAAAGTTTGGATGGTATAAATTTAGACTTTAAAAAGAGTCGCTGCAGAATGACATTTGACAAAGCAGGAGATTCCACCTTTGGCATATTTTTATGTAGAAAGGGTAATCCTCAGTACAGAGGATGCCAGTGTAGGAGAGATGAGTAGGCAAACAAGTGGTTAGGTTTACTTAATGTGTACCTGTCACTGTGCTCATTCAAGGAGGAAGACGCTTTAAAAAGTTTAAAAAGTTGGTAAAAAGCAAATTAGTCATAGAGAATGTAGTCAAGTTATTGAATGCTACTAAATTTAGCCTGGGCATCTAGGCTTCAATGACCTCTGGCCGTGAAAGGGTTAAGGGCATGTTCTTTGATTATTTTACATGCAAATTGTGTTTACCGGAGCTCTTTTTTTTTCCCCCTGCAGAATGGAACAGCAAATGGCGGCCTGTACAACAGGGAGTTCAAGGAGACCTTTGAAGAAGCTCCTTTGTACGTTGCCGTGTTCACCTACATAGGCTTTGGTGTTGTGACTTTATTTGGCTACTTACGGGACTTCTTGAGAGCATGGGGACTAGAGAAATGTCATATGGCGGAAGAAAGGGAAGAGCAAAAAGTAAGAATTGAACATACCCAAGGGTAATATTTTAGAATGTTATATGTCTTAGGAGATTTGTGCTGGTCATTAAAATCTGGAGGAGTGTAGTAGAGCTGCAACAGTTAATCGATTTAGTCGATTAAAATCGACGATGGAAAACGTTATCAACGTTTTCCGTCATCGATTCGTCGGCTATCGATTGATTAGCCTGTTCAGGGCTCCACACACAGCCTGAGCCGCACGTCACACGCTGCACCCACCACACAGGACCCAGAAGCCACGCCCACCGCACATGCAGCTAAAGACGCCGCGGCTCCTCTCGATGTGAGCTCCCTCACTCGCCGCTGGCCCGCTGACAAGTAAGTTGATCTTTAAGAGAATGGTGTAACCTATGTTTGTGGACAAAACTAATCTTACAAAATAACTCCCTCTTTGATCCACGGCACAGAGTAAACTAAATAGGCCTTTGGTTCTGGGTGACTGGCAGCAGACAGAAGCTCAGTGCACATCCCTTTTCAAGTCAGCTTTCAGATTGTACATATTCCTTGTACAATTTTGTACTAAATTTTAAACAACTTCCCAATAGGCATAAAAAAAAAGTGAATAAAGGCTTCAGATGACAATGCTAGCTAATGTCAGCTTCAGTATATTTCACACAGGGCTGTATTTAGAGATTATATTCTTGCAAACATAAATAATGATGCTTTTTTATCCAGGCTACTTATATCAAAATCAGAATGCTCGATTAGAGTCAGAATTCTGTCTGCTACATGTGGAGCCATTGGGGCTGACATTCAAAACCTGTTCACAAAAAAAAACCTACACGTTGCATAGGCTGCAAAGTCTTGGGACTCTATTGTGTCACATTTTAAAGGGAAAGATTTTTTTCATATTTTACATAAAAAATAAATGCATATACAAAATGGTTTCACCTACCAAAGTTTTTTTCTATTATTTGCAAATAGCCCTGTGGGTCAGAGAAGGGTGTGGCTATTTTGGGCTACCATAGGAGGTTTTAATGACCAACTTGATGCAAAATCTCTGTGTACTGGCTCTTCCTTCCCTCTTCTCAATAAGAGACATGTGCTGCTTCAGTCGCTCAGGAGAGTTGTAAGCTTTTCCCTTTTAAGGAGACTATTTTTACATTTTACTTGGGATCCCCTAGATTAACAATAACACACACTTGTGAGATTTGACTTGGCATCAGCCTCCTGCATCCCCCCATACAGCAGCACTGACACTGGGTGATGAAGGAGCTGAAATGGAAGCCATTCAGATCTGCTGCATACAAACGTGTGGACAAGAAATTTGCTGTTAGTACCTGTGTGTGTTGTAAAGTGGTCACCGCTCCAAGATTGCTCCCATGATAGACTACAGTCTCAATAAAAACTAGAATTCCATCACGGGAGCCTTTTTTTTTTTTTTTTTTTTTTTTACTATTTCTATCCGATTAATCGAACTTAATAATCAGCTGCAGCCCTAGAGTGTAGCATGACTGTGCGGTCCAAAGAAATCAGTCATTTAAGAATTCTGTTGAAGATTAATAATTATAACTAAGCCTTGATTGGCTGATATTGGCAGCACATAGACCTTTCCTCTGGTCCTATGCGATCATCTTTATTCTGGGTTTCTCAGTGTTGTCTAGCAAAGTCACCTGTGGTGTGCACATCTTCTTTTGCCCTCTTCTTTTGTGGTTTTAAATCACTTACTCTTTCTATAGCAAGACCAAATAATGGTGCTCACCATTCAAGTTCACCAGAACCTACGTTTGCAGCAGCTGTATGTTAAAGAAATAACTGATTTTATGTATTTTTTTTATATCAATATAGGACTTCGTGCCTTTGTATCAAGACTTTGAAAACTTTTACACAAGGAATCTATACATGCGAGTACGTGACAACTGGAATCGGCCTATCTGCAGTGTTCCGGGGCCTCAATTTGACCTAATGGAGCGATTGACAGACGATTACAACTGGACATATAGGTGACTCATTCTGCCATTACGAGTCTTTATAACACACCACTAACTAGTCTCAGATAATAATTATGCTGGAAAAATGGAGATGCTGCCCATGGTAACCTGTCAGTATCTTCCTTCCATTTCCTTATTACTTGAATGTGTGAGGTTTCAATGGGCAGCACTTGTCCTGAAGGCTCCCGTCAGATTCAGATGTATAATGAGGAATGACAGTTGGAGAATAAATATATGAATCTGATAGGCTGATAAATGTGCTGGATTACTGCACAGATCTGGAAAAATACATAATGGAGGCAAGTAAGATTCAAGAGTGTCAATGCCTGTACAATGCTTTTATATCGTTTACCCCAGAGTTCAGCTTTCAACCTAAGGGCGGCGCACACCTATGCGAAACTCCACCCCGCGGCAATCATGCATCGATCGTGCTGTGTGCGCCATTATTTTCCAATTGCACCCCAGTCACGCCGTGCGGATCGCGCGGTTTCCCACCGCGATTCCGCCCGTGCTTCCGAACAGGATTGCGTGTAAAACAGTACCTTGTACCTGTACCTTTTTTTTGCTGCGATACACGGCGCGCGGCTTACTTAGCTACGATCATGTTCGGAATCGCGGTGGGAAACCGCGCAATCCGCCCGGCGCGACTGGGGTGCCATTGGAAAATAATGGCACCCACATCGCGATCGGTGCACACCTATACGAATCATGCACGATTGCCACGCGGTGGGGTGTCGCATAGGTGTGCACCGGCCCTAAAGCTGGAATATATCTCTGCTAAGAGTATCAAACACTTTCAATGCTGTTAGTGTACGTTATGATATATTGCTATAATAACAGGCAAAATAGTAATGTCATATTTATATAAAATATATAATATTAGAGAAAGCTTTGTCTACAGTGTCGTCATACTACGACCTATGTTTCAGCAAATCCAGCTAAGAAGGCTAATGTTCGTGATATGTGCTGTTAATGTAAAATATATCCTCCTTCCTCATACTTCACTCCACTGTATTGATGTGCTTGGATAGCTACATGCAATGCCCTCAACGAACCGGGTTATTTATACCTTTTAGGAATGTAGGGGAAGCGACATTTCCTTGATGAAATCAGCAGGCGCTAAAAGTTTACAGTTTACACAGGATCTAGACTGACATATGTCACAAGCATGTACTTGGGTAACACTGCGCAACAAGAAGAGGGCGCACTTATAGTGTAGTAGCTTTTAATATACAAGAAAATGAATAATAATGTACTTACAAGATAATCATTAGCCAGGATCCAGTCATGATGACCCCTATAACAATAGCCAGTGGGCGAGGTGGGCTGCAGTATACTCAGGAAGATCGGAGCAACAGTAGTGGAATAGATCAGCACAGTGTTAGGAAATGGCATGGAGTCTATACAACCTCAAGGTCACAGTGGAGTGGTAGTTCAGGCAACGTGTTTCAGAGAGGCTTGACAAAGGAGATTACTCTCCAAATTGCATTTTCCTGGACTACCAACCTTTCCGTAAACCTGGAAATTGTATGGACTCAGATGCCATGTCGCTGCTTAACACGAAGCAGTCTTCTCTTCTTGTCCAGGTTACCTATAGTATAAGGAGGAGAAGGTGTTCTTTAGTCCTAACATACTTGCTTTCCTACGGTGACAATGCTTCTTCTCCATAGATACAAAAAGTGAACATTGTCACTCTTGGACAGGAAGTGTGTTAATGGCAAGATTACAGAAAATAAAATAAAAAACAGACTGATAAAAAAGAAAACGAGTGCAGCCACCACATCTGAAGCTGTGTGTACACTGTTATATTTTCTTTGTTAAACCTGCATGCTGAACAAAGAAAATATAACAGATTCCTCCATCAATGCTTATGAGTTGGAGAAATCCCCTGCTGATTTAATTGGCTGCAAGCTCCATTCAGCCAAAGATCTTGCAACCGACTCCTTCGATTTGCTGATCAAGGGATGCTGGCCGGAAGAGTGCCGACAGTGTCTACACTATGGCCAGCTTAAGCATTCATAGGCTATAATATATTACATTTTGGTTCTTGGGTTTAGATACACTTTAAAGAAAAACAAACAAAACGTATTTCTATGTTCTTTTCATTTTAGGTACACGGGAAAAGTAATTAAAGACGTGATAAACATGGGATCATATAACTATCTTGGCTTTGCAGAGAAGGATGAAGAGTCCCTGGAGACAGTGAAGGATATATTGCAGGCATACGGAGCTGGAGTATGCAGTAACAGACAGGAGATGGGTAAGGAGGATGACCATGGTGCGTGTGGTGCAGTGACGTTTGGTGCCTTCCGTGCTGGGTGAGGCATCCCCAGCCCGCTCCATCCCACCAAAGCTCCGCCCCAACTCGGTAACCAAGCTATGTGTGGATGGGAGGAGCCTCCCTGTTCCTCACTTGCTCATCACTGGAGAGCCACTTGTGAGGCATTGAGATCGATGTCCTCAGTGTTTGTTTGTTTTTTTGATTTATGTTTTTTTTTTTTATTGGACCATTGGCACTTTGCCATTGATCCAAACCATCCACAGAGCTCACACCTCTAACACAGAGTAGTGGCTGTGACACCTCTTGCCTCACTATGTTAGATTACACAAGCAGTGGGGAAGCCCGCTGTTGTGTAACCTAACTAGCTGTCAAAAGCCGGATGAAACACCGCCTGTAATTTAACATGCAGCGCTCTGTCCATGACAGGTTACGCAGCGGTGAGGCTTTCCCTGCTCTGTAACCTATTACCAGCCGAACTGAATGGAGAAAAAGCTCTCGGCTTCAAGTCTTTTTCCTCCATAATACTAGGTGAGGCTCTGCCTCCCCTGACCGCATGTCCCTGGTGTGGTGTGTGTGGTTACTGATCTGTGGAAAATAGCTATCGCTAAGTTTTATCAAATATGTGAACTGCTAACTGCTTTACCTTTTCTTGGCCTAAGGGAAAAGCTTGTAATTAAATCCAGTGAACTCAGACGCACATTACAGGTTAAACATTGTTCTATACTGACTCTGCTACATGTTATTCTGCACTTTCTTCTAGCATGAATGATTAAAAAAATGACAACACCTTCTGACACTTATACAACACATTTAAGAAACTTGTACTTTTTCCTTTTCTTTTTATAACGCTAGAAAAACAACGCACACACATTTCTCATCATGTTATGTTTTATATAATGTTACATTTTCAACAGGCTTCTGGAAACAGTGGAAAAACCTGTTAGCTGTGTTGAATTGTTTATTCTTGAATGACGTCCTGAAAACTCATTGACCCAGACTAGCTAGTCACATGGCCAACCTTTTCTAGTTAATATGCTTCTGGAGATCGGTAAAGCTGCCATGAAAGAAACAGAGAAACACTTGAAATAGTTTTTGAGTCTCAAGGAATCCCCAATTAGATTATTAGACCTACAGCTCATGGACACTTTTGAAGTAACATAATCGAATCAAATACTGTATGTGCAAAAAAGTTTCACAGCAAGTGTGCGGCGAAGATGGCCGCGGCCCTGTTCGTCACCCGATTTGGAGTTTGTGAACAAAAGCAAAATTTTGCTGAACTTTTTGTTCGCGAACCGAATTGTTCGTGAACAGTAGCGTTTGTGAACCGAGGTATTACTGTACTTGTACCAGCTCCTTTACTCAAAAAGTATTTCAGCCGGATGTTGTATAACAGCCAAGCAAATAGTACTGTCTGAGGTGGGTGGCAGCCCACATATTTTTCTGATGACAGGTTTTCTTTGCCTCACTGGTGACTTACATACTGCAGTGTTGCTGTAAGGGTGGGAGCGATCCCTTTTTTACCCAGCCGGCAAGGAAGTGTCTCAGTGCACCTTTGCATATAGGATCTCGCTAACACATGCTGTAAAGTGACTGTGAGCCCTAACTGAATGTGTGTATGTATATATACATTCTAGGGTGTCTCACCAGTCAGCATGACCGGCCTAGAGCCTTGCAATTTATGTTAACATTTTTGGGGGACAGATAGAGCTTTCTTTTGGTGGTATATAAAATCACCACGGGGGGGTTATTTTTTTCTATATCATGAAAAAAGTACAGTAAATTTAAAAAATAACAAACTTTCCCTACGTTATGTTATAAAACCCATATTTTTTGTAAAACGTAAAAGAGGGGGTCACATAGGGTATATAGACCTCAAACATGTCGAGCCTTAAAATTGCGTGCGCCCGCAAAATCGCAACAAACGACTACACTGAAAATTGGCCATAGGTGATGCTTGAAACGCTTTTACCGCTCATCAGTTTAGTGTTATCAGTAATTAATGGCCCTAAAATTATTGCTCACACTCCTACGTTTGCAGTTATATGTAACATGTGCGGCACACTAGGCGCAATCGTTGTTTTCGCACGTAGGCACACCCGACGCATATCTGCATGTGTATGTGGGGGGCAGAGGACTTTTAAAAAAATAAATATATATTTTTACATTTTTTTAATGCTTCTTTATTTTTTTTTTATGTCATCTGGCAGTCTCCGGCCACCTAAATTAGGACCCGGAGACTGCCAGATGACCCCGCTCGGAGCGCCGCACACCGAGCAGCAGTGACGCGACGCTCGGCGAGGTAAGTAAGAAGACGCGCTGGCGCTGACTCGAGTATAAGCCGAGGGGGGCACTTTTCACCCAAAAAAATGGGCTGAAAATCTCGGCTTATACTCGAGTATATACGGTACTTTTTTTTTTTACACGACTTTATTGCTATCACATGGGGGGGCTAAGAAGCCCCCTTTGTGATAGCCAATTTACATGACAGGTCCTCTTTATGAAGACATCTGGGGTCTCCGAGACCCCTAATGTCACCTAGGGACCCCCAGAGAAGCTGATGAAGCAGAGATCTGCTTCATCAGCTTCTGTAGCTGGAAAGTGACACTGAATGCAGGAAGTGATGTAATATACATCACTTCCTGCATTCCAGCACTGGAGAATAGATCAAAGGGAGATCGTGCCGGTCCCGGCCGCATCGGGCACAACGGATCTCGGGACCGGCAACGGCAGTGACAGCTGCTGGTAATATAAGCGATCGGGCGTCTCGAGACACTCGATCACTTGAATGTAAAGCTCCTCGGACGGCTCTGCATGCACTCCAGGGGTGGTTGCATGCCATTTCTCAGGTTGGCAACAACTGTGGACTTTATACTGTTTGTTGACACCATTTGTAGTCTACATTGGAAGCTCATGTGACAGGGTGTCAACACAGAAGAAGAGTTGGGTGATTGGTGTTGATAGGGTGTTGTCACCCTATATCAGGAAGTACCTGTTCATGGATCTTCATGGCAGGATTACTAGGTATTATATAATGAAACCTGCAGATTTAAAAATATTCAAAATGGCTTTTCATATTACATGAAGGTGTTAATGCTTATGAGATTTTAGTGACTGTTTACTTACTGTATACTTTAATTATGGCGTTGTTGTCATGCTAAGGATTATAATTAACATTGATGTATTTTTAAAATTCACACCACACATTACTCAGCAGGGCACGTCAACATTACGAAAGAACCTCATTCATGGTTAATGAAAAAAACCAAACACATTGCTGCTGAGCTCCCGCATGTGACCTAATAGTGCCAAGCTTAGGCACACTACTTTAGTAGCATTGTGTTCTTGAAGATCATTTTAAAGTGCACTGGTCAGCTGTTAAAGTTTGCACTTCATCCAAATGTCATAATTGTTATATCACATTATTATTTCAACGATAATATCTTTTCAATGCATAATAAAGGTTCTTCCAAGCTCCCTTTTGTGACGTAAAGCCTTAGCAAAGATTGCATAGATCTACAGAGAGTACTGTTTTTCATCATTAGAGACTCCAAGCAGTCTTGTTTTCGATCAAACAGATGCTCCCTGGGAAATCATCTTACATTGATTAGTTAAATTAACATATTTTCCACTTACTGGTTTTCCACTTCCTGGTCCTCTTAGGCATTAGTGATGTAGCCCATGCCTAAGACCTTGTTCACACCAAATGCAGAGCAGATCCGGTCAGGTTTCTGCACATGCACGCTAGTCTTTTAGACGCGTTTTTGACGCGTTCCGGGCTCTTTTTGGTAAAACAAATAAAAAAAATTTTTTACGTTTAAAATGGGCTTTCAGTGCATTCCAGGCATCTGCATGCGTTTTGATGCATTTCAGAGCAGATCCAGAGCAGGTAAAATAGGGCCTGCTGCAGTTTTTTTACCTGCTCTGGATCTGCATGATGAGATGTGAACTGGAGCTCAAAATACCATTGGAATACATTGGACGCAGTTTTGATCCGGTCTGCACCTGCTCTGCTCTAGATCTGCTCCGCGCTTGGTGTGAACAACCCCTTAGTGATTCATCCTGGGAAGGTTGCATCATAGTGCATTGCTGGAAAACCCCATTTGTAAGTTGCAAAATCATGAGAGATGTGAGGGAAAGGCATTTTCCCCCCTGAAATGATGTGCATGATCACATGTCCTGGTCACATGTGCTAGAGTTCCTGGAAGTAAAGGGAGATAGCTAGATTAATCTATCTAGGGATGCATCGATACCGAGTATTTGGGAGAGTACTCATGTACTCACCGATGCCAGAACCTCTGGTATCAGGAAGCCGGGCAGCAAGTCATTACACGCTGCCCAGCTTCCTGATTGGCCAGGAAGCCTGTTCCATGCTCCCTGGTGACGAGGGAGCATGGAGCCGGCTTCCTGACCAATCAGGAAGTCAGGCAGCGTGTAATGACTCGCTGCCCAGATTCCTGATCGGTCGGGAAGCTGGTCAATCAGGAAGCCGGGTGGCGAGTCGTTACCCACCCCAGGCTTCCTGATTGACCAGAAAGCCGGCCTCATGCTCCCTCGTCACCTGGTGACGAGGGAGCATGGAGACGGCTTGTCGGGCCTTTCAGAAAGCCGTACGCCGTGTAATGACTTGCCGCCTGGCTTCCTGATTGGTCGGGAAGCTCACCAATCAGGAAGCCAGGGGGCGAGTCCTTACCCGCCCCCCGACTTCCTGATTGGCCAGTTCCGGCTCCTTGCTCCCGCGTCACCTGGTGACGGGTGACGAGTCATTATATACCTCCCGGCTTCCTTTAATGGGACTGCTGGTATTGGCATTCCATATCGGCGAGTACCGTAAAAAAAAAAATATCGGTACTCAATACCGAAAAAACAGTATCGGTGCATCCCTAACTCTGACCTTAGTAAAAATGGCCACCATGAGAAGAATGGGGAGGGAAAGGAAAATCAGGTATTCAAAGAAAAGGAAACCTGACGTTATCTATATTATCTTAATAAACATTTCTTGATGGGCCTTTGTTGTCATTTTAAAGATAAGGGTAAAGTTCCTGTTTAACCACTTGCCATCCATGGCCGTTCCTGAATAGGAGCGGGAGGACGTCTTAAGACGTCCTTCCCCTCACCCCGCTTGCGCGCACATGAGGGGGAAACTGTCAGCAATGTAAACAGCTGGCGATGGCTGTTTACATTCAAGCGATCGGGCGTCTGTAGAGACACCCGATCACTTGTAGTATGTGCGGGTGTGTGGCCGCCGCTGCCGGTCCCGAGATCCGCTGGGACAGGCACGGCGACTCTGTCAGTGGAGATCAAAGGGAGCTCACTACACAATCTCCCTTTGAACTCTTTCCCTGTCCCTGAATGCAGGAAGTGATGTATATTACATCACTTCCGCATTCCTCTGTCACTCTCCGGTACAGAAGCCGGAGGGAAGCGGATCTTTGCTTCATCAGCTTCTCTGGGGGTTCCTCTGTGACATCAGGGTTCTTGGAGACCCCTGATGTCTTCATAAAGATGACTGTCATGTGAATTGGCTATCACATAGGGAGCTTCCTAGCCCCCTATTTGATAGCAATAAAGTTAAGTGTAAAAAAAAAAAGTTAAAAAAAATTAAAGCATAAAGAAGCTAAAAAATAGTAACAAATAAAAATAAAGTAAAATAACAAAAACATTTTTGTAAAGTCCCCCGCCCCTCCCACATACACACGCAAGCGTGCGCCAACGTGCGAAAACTACGATTCCGCCCATTGTGCCACACATGTTACATATCGCCGCGAACGTCGGAATGAAAGCAATAATTTTAGTGCCATTTATTACTGATAACACTAAACCAGGGGTAGGCAACCTTGGCTCCCCAGCTGTGCTGAAACTACAAATCCCATAAGGCATTGCAAGCCACAGGCATGACTCCCAGAGGCAAAAGCATGATGGGATATGTAGTTTCAGCACAGCCGGAGCGCCAAGGTTGCCTACCCCTGCACTAAACTGATGAGCAGTAAAAGCTTTTAAAGCACCGCCTATGGCCAATTTTGGGTGTGTGTGCGATTTCGCGGGCACGCGCAAATTCAAGGCTTGACATGTTTGGTGACTATTTACCAAAAAATTGGAGTGATAATAAATGTTCCATAACATTGCAAAGAGAAACAGGTTTTTTACAAAATTTAGGGTACTTTTTTTTGTTATATAGTAAAAAAAATAAACCCCCCAGTGGTGAATAAATACCACCTAAAGAAAGCTCTATGTGTCCCCAAAAAATGGTATAAAATTAATTTCAGTACAGCGTTGCATGACGGAATAAACGTCAGTCAAAGTACCACAGCGCTGAATACTGAAAAATGGCCTGGCCAGGAAGGGGGTTTAACAGCGCGGACTTCAAGTGGTTAATGGTGTCATCAGCTGTTGGACAAAATTGTAATATTTAGACAGTTCATTATCCTTATCTTTTAAGTTTGTTTTTTTCTTGTGCTGTTTAAACAAATCATGTTTTGTGTAGTAGGAAATCAAAGATCTGCTTATAGCAACCTCAAGTGTAGTGTGTTTTGTATTAAAATTTTCTGATTGGTCGGTTTGCATAGTCCACAACCTACTGAGATGATAGTTTGTATCTCTTGGTTGGTGTAAATGCTGTTCTGCCTATTCCTGATCCAGATACATCACTTGATCAATATTGCAGCAGAGCTGGAATTGATCTGTGTTTGTCACTCAGGTCGTCTCTACAGTATATGGGTCTCGGTGCTGAGACTAGAATTATTTCCATACATTTTCCTGATACTCTGAATTCCACCTTGGGGTATGTGACAGTCTGTTGTCAGGTTACAATGTGCTTGCATGTGGAGCGTCCATTTAAACCGTGGCGCACTTCACTTTTGGGTAATTAGGTGAAGGGTATTTGTGTTAATCTTCTTCATGTTCCTCTTATCCAGGATTATTAAAGCACGTGTTAATTACAGTATTCCTTTTCAGGGCATTTGGACAAACACCAAGAGCTGGAGGATTTGGTGGCAGAGTTCCTCAGTGTGGAGGCGGCAATGGTATTCAGCATGGGCTTTGCCACAAACTCGACAAATATTCCGGCACTTGTAGGGAAGGTAATTTGTTTCCTTATCCGTTCTTCATACATTGAAATACTGAAAATTTCACTATGTTAGTAATAATTCTATAGCACAGGGGTAGGCAGCCCCAGTACGCCAGCTGTTGTGGAACTACAAGTCTCTGCAAGACTCTGATGGCCTTCTAGAGGCAGAGGCATGACGGGATTTGTATTCTCACAACAGCTGGAATACTGTGGTTGCCTACCTCTGGTGTAGCAGCTATGAGCCTTTATATTAATGGCTTCTTAAAGGGAGTTTGTCTGTTACATATTACTGCAAAGGCTTACATAACGGCACAGGAGGCTGCTATTGCCTGACTGCTGGAAGAAGTGCTAGTTACAGGGCAAGCTTGTCCTTGTGCTCTGCCCCCAAACTAGCACAACCCTTTAACTCTAAATCGGACCCTTTGTTGTGAAAGGTAATAGCCGTCATTATTATTATTATTATTATACAGGATTTATATAGCGCCAACAATTTGCTCAGCGCTTTACAAAATAGAGGATATAAAATAGTGGAGTCATGACATATTCCTTTTAATATAGCAAATATCAAATTATCAGTCTTTCAGTAAGTTTAGTTCTCTGCAAAATTAAAAACAAAACAAATACAGTACAACACATGCTTATTTCCCCATGTTTTTTTTCTTTAAAAACAATTACAGAAAAATACTTGCTGATTTGCCAGAAATCCAGTGAGTTACTTTTGTTCCCCATAGTCCCTGTGTGTGTTGGCAAGTAGCCACCGCTTTAGGCTCGGTCCGGGGATGTACTACAGTCTCACGTTTAGTTACTAATTTGTAATTGAAATGATAGTTTATTATGGGGGGCGAGCTTGGAGCGGTGGTTACTTTACAACCTTGGTTCTCAACTGGTGGGTCGTGACCCAAAAGTGGGTCCCGACCCTGTGTTCAGTGGGTCCCACATGCCTTCCACTTTTCTAGGTTAGAGGCTCCTGTGTCTCCCCCTAGCGCAGCATTTTCAGTTCTGATGCCAAGCAGCCATTCAAAATATGCTGCCCGGTGCCTGTGGTGGGATGGGATGGGGCTATGGCCGCAAGGGAGCTCCATCCATACGTGCATTGCTTACAGCTCCCTCACGTGTCCTCTAGAGATGCTTGGACCGGAGTGACATCACATTCTGGCTCCCGGCACCTCTACAGGGCACTCAAGGGAGCTGTACCAGCAATGCACATATGGATGGAGCTCCGTCACAGCACAGCAGCCCACAATGGACCCCAGGCTGAGGATCCACTCCAGTTCTCGTAAGGTAGGAAGACTGGGACATTAAAAAAAAAATTAAGAAAAAAAACAAACATTTTTAGAGTATGTATGTGAATGTCTGTAAGTGTGTGAGATTGTGTCTGTGTATGTGTATGTATGTCAGTGTTTTTGAGGGCCCGTTCACACTAGTAAAGTGCGTTAATCGCATAGTACCGTGTGATTAATGCACTGTACCACGCAATCGCACCTACCGCACGTTCTGGTGTGGGAGGTGTGTTGCGTTGCCATTCATGGTACCCCAAACGCACCTCCCACCCACAGTTCGTACGCCCGCACTGGAATGCGCGGTACCCTAATGCTGTGCGTTCCATTGCAGTGCGACTTGGGTCGCGACTTAATGACCGAGGACAAATGTGGGTCCTGAGATTACACAGGTTGAGAACTACTGCTTTACAACACACACAGGGGCCATGGGGAACAAAAGTAGCCACCCTCCAGAAGGAAGGACAGTGTCAGCACCAATTCAGAGATGATTTGAGAATCTACACCTGAGAGATGCACAAATAAGATACATTTTTGTGAATAGTTAAGGTACTTGAATGCATTTTTAAGATTTTTAATTTTTACAAATTTAAAACATAGAAAAGCATATAAAAGACAACGTCTCAATGCAACAGTTGCACAGCAAACGTTACAGGGATATGCATATCAGATCCAGAACAATGTAAATATTGTACTACAGCACATGGATGAACATTCCAGTCCAAACAGCATTGCAGTGGATCGTTGCCGCTTGGTGCATGCATAGCAAATTCAACATCGTTAAAACGGAAAGCATATGCATCCCCATCCTTGTTGTTACACATTTTAGAGAGAGTCACGAGGAAAGGTATAGAATCTCGTGCTGCGTAAGTCACGTGGGGGCAGAGAACATCCTCTTACTAATACTGCAAAAACGAAATATCATATATAATATCTAAAGTGAAGGAAGTAGAGGGACAATGGTAGAGAAAAGTAAAGGGTGTCAAAAACAAGGGACAGGAGGTCGGTAATGACACATACATTGCCAGCTGGAAAACAGCAGAGAGAGGGCATATGGACGAGCAAGGAAGAGATGACTATGAGAGCTAAGAGGTGAACAGAAGTTGGGTTACCCCTCCGATACAACATCCAAAGTAGGCAGACCGGGGTTGACCATCGGGGGTCACAGCCAGACTCAGCCCGGGGAACCAGCAACGTTTGCCGGGAGTAGGTCTCTGAGTATTGGAAGGCCAGGCATGGGCTCCAAGTGGACTTGAACTTCCCCTCTGTGTTTTTAAGGGTGGAGGAAAGGTCCTCCATACGGTATATTGCGTCTACTTTAACAATCCACATGTGAAGGGGGGGGGGAGTCGTGCGTTTCCACAAAATCGGGATGCAGGCACAGGCAGCATTCAACAAGTGCACGGCTAGGGTTGATTTATAGCGACTCATGGAGCAGTCGGAAAGGTGTAGCAAGCATGCTGCAGTGTTATTTTTCAAGGTTGTCATGGTCAGCTTTTCAGTGATCTCCAAGACTTGGTCCCAGAAGGGGAAAACCTTTTGAGCATGTCCAAAAGATGTGAAACGGGGACCCAGGACCCGACTGGCAGCGCCAACAGAGAAGTGAGACCTGAGGGAACAGAGAGTGTAATAACGTTGGCACCCTGTGCCACCGGGATACTATCTGTTTTTAAGATTTAGCACCTGAACTTAGTGTCACTTTAAAGTATCACCACTTGTAAGCATATTCGACAGCGTTGATATGGCTGCCACCCTGATCATAATGACGGCCCAGGAGGCTGCAATGCATTTTCATGTTTGTTTGTTTTTGTAAGTTGGTATTTGTGCTGCCTTTTATGTACCCTTGCTATAAAAAAGTGTCAGTTCTCCTATGTTTGTATTTGCAGATGAAGCAAAGTGTTGTGTGTTTATAAATTACAATCAGAATTTTTTTTTTCTGATTTATACAAATTCAATCTCTTTTTCTGTGTCCCCTGTTATCAATGAACAGGAATCCTCTGAGTGTTCCTGTTCATTGATAACATGAGAACATTGTTTGTTTACTATAACTACAATTATGAATGAATGGGGGTGATGTAGATCACTCCCATTCACTCATAATTGAGGATATAGTTAACATACCCTATCCTCAATTATGTACAAACACTCAGCGAGCACTGATCGCTGAGTGTGTGTACCTTGCTCTTCTCTCTGACCAATGTCACAGGAGGCTGATCGAGCGGTGTAGAGAGGAAAGCCCAGCCTCCTGTGACAGCGCTGTCTCCACCCACACACCGCTCTGTGATAGGCAGCAGAGCGGTGTGGGAGGAGACACTGGCCGCTCACAGCGCTCTCCACCGCAGCGCTCGGGCGGCTGTCACTTTCTCTTCTCCCCGCTGGGGCATAGAGCAGCGCCCAGCAGGGAGGAAAGAAATCAAGGATGCGCCGATGTATCGGCAGGAAAATGGCACTTTCGGCCGATATATCGGTGCATCCCTAGTAAAATAAATTAGTTGGCATTGAACTACCTGTACAAACTACACATCTATTTTTTGTTGGGGGGAGGGGAGTTATGGTAAACAGATAGTTGAAGTCTGTCCTGCAAATAGTTATTTGTTTTAGACTGTTCAATGTGCCAGACTTGTGTTATCTGTTCTTATGAGAACTAATAAATGTACAAGTCTATAATTGCATGCTGCAGGTTGGATTAAATGGAAAACAAGGGATGGCAATTTCTGTTTGTTCCATAATCCATTCAACAAGTCAAACATCAGCTTTGTGTTTCTATCCCATTACCTTGTAATACGTCGTTGTGACCAAGCTGTGTTTGTCAGCAATCTCTGCTACCAGGGAAATCTCTGCTGTATTTTTAGATAGATATCCCCAGGTGACGCCATTCTAACTGCACCACATGTGCTCATTCTACAATACCTTTTCACTACGCAGCAAACAACGCAATTATTTCTCAGTTGAAAAAGATCTGAACAATTCGAGAGATAATTGGATAGTAAAGGGTTGCATTCCAGCTCAAAGTGAGATCTCGGGGGCAACATAAGCCTCTTGCATAGGTCAAGCACAGGTTTGCCAGCCCGTATGATTTATTTTATTTATTTAAAGCATAATCCCTGGTAATAATAAAATAATCATTTGCCCAGCACTTTAAATAAAGCAGCTCTTGTTTCAATACTCGCTTTCAACCTAGTGAATTTCCCTGTAGAAAGTTCTTTCTGCCGGTAGATTGCTCTCCTTTTCCAGATTGAATGACAGCCGGCATCATTCAGCTCACATCCTGGGAGTCCATGCTGTCATTAAAACAGCAAACAGTTTCCCAGCACACTCGCCAGCCAGCATGCAAAAAAAAACCTTTCTAACCAAAACCTTTTTTTTTTTTTTTTGGTTTTTTTTGCATGCTGGCTGACGAGTGTGCTGGGAAACTTTTTGCTGTTTTACTGTTTGAAGCCCTTCCATGTGCACCTTGCTGTAAAGCTGGTAACAAATTGATGAGTGCGTTTGCCATTTGTTTTGCTCCATGCTGTCATTGACACACCCGCGGAGATCATCGTGCTGACCCAGCACAGAACAATGTTCACACATGATTAAGTGCGCAATGATCAGTGTTGCAGTAAGGAGTTTGAGGTTGAGGGGACTGAAGGGGGCAGCTGAAGATGGGCTTTAAAAAAAAAAAAATTACCTTTGCAATGGGGCTACCCATTTAAATGCTTGTCTTGTCTAGGGGGCCCAAATTAAGCAGATATAC